TCGACACTGGGATAATTGCAATTAGCTCCTCCTCAGTGCTTATTTTCTACTTAAAGTACTGTACTGCAGATGCAAATAAGTATTCAATTTCACACACTTCCCACTCATATAAAATATGTCCAAGTACATCACAAGTTCTTAGATCAATAGAGACGAAAGATACTTGATACAACAACAACAACTACTACTACTACTACTACCACTACTACTACGACTGCTGCGACTACTACTATTATATTTTTTATCGTTACATCGCTAATAATGCTTTTTAGTTGTAAATTGTCGTAAATATAAAAAATTATGCTAAATGTATTTGTGTCATAATTTTTTTTACTCATTACTACAACAGTACCTATTGCAAAATAAACTTGCTTTATATTAAAAAACAAATTGATACTGAACTACTGCTACTACTACTAATACCACTACTACTACCACTACTTCTGAATTCAAATCATGAGAGGCTCTGTACAAATCCAGCAATAAAATTCACCAATATTATTAATACTACAGTCACAACTACTAATACTACTACTGCTACTACTTTTGCAGCTCTTACTACAGCTGCAACTAATACTACTACTACTTTTGTGATGGCAACTATTACCAACGACATTGTACACTACTCGGCGTTGTTTGTCATATCAATGATCACACTGGCGAACGTTTGCCTGCATACAGACGTATATGCATCGAACTGTACAAATAAACCCTTTGTATGCACGCAGACCCTTTTGTGTACATACCCATTGTACGCGTACCCTTTGCGTTACGTACTTATTTTATGTACACACATTGCGTGTATATCAATGCGTTCTTTATGTTTTATACTCGTATAAGTTTTTGTGTGTTTGTGTGTGTGTGTGTTTGTGTTGCATGGGTATGTGAATGTGTGTACCATACATTCACAGACATACACGCACACATATACACACATACATACCATCCCAATGGAAGATAAATAAATACAAAACGTTCAAGGCAATAGAAATACAAACACTTATTCTTAAACAAACAAAGAATAATATTGGAAAACTGCTTAAAGATACATTATTCGGAAATCATGCATAGTCAGGAAAAAATAACTTGTATGTGTGAATATACACTCACAAATACATGCACATACAAATGCATTATTACGAGCCATCCTAACTAATGCACTTAATACAATGCATGCGCTGTGAATTATGACTGAATTATGCGTAAACAAAGTAGAACGTTGCTTTCAACCGTTCATAAACATCGGAGTATTGCACCGTGTTATAAATATACACATCCTGTGCATGGAACATATGCACAAACACACGCATACACACACACATACACACGCATATACAAAGGTACATTCATACAAATAAAGACACACATACATACAATGCACGTGCACACATGCGTACATACATACCTACCAACTGTTCAATTTTATGTCATAGGTGCAATTCATGCTAACGTACACAGGCAAACATAGACACAAAAACACACAAACACACACATACAAACAAACACACATACACGTACATAGAAATTTAGGTGTACATACAAACTACTCTTATTTCTACTTCTTCTGTTACTAGTATTATTACTACTATTACTGTGCAAAAACTATTGGCTATTAATAATAAAACTGCTAATACTAACACTACTACTTCTACTCCTACTATTACTGCTACAACTGCTTAGATTGCATGTTGTTGCTACTACCACTATTACTTCTGCTACTACTACTACTACACCAACTGATGCTGCTGCTACTATAACTTCTACTACTATTTCTACTACTACTACAAAAACTTCATCAACTAAAAACATCCTCACTAAAAACAATGTGGATTCAAGCAGAGCGGAAATAGCATCTGATATACAATACTCAACAGAAAACATTTCAAAATTCGAATACTGCCTGCATCATACTACTACTACTGCTACTACTACTATTATTATTATTATTATTATTATTGTTACTACTACTACTACTACTACTACTGCTGCTGCTGCTGCTGCTGCTGCTACTACTACTACTACTTATAAAACTATTACTAATAACTACAATTAACTCTACTGCTATTGCTACCACTAATTACTACAGTTCATATTAGTATTACTACAACCATAACAACTACAACTACTATAGCGGCTACTACTACAACCACAACGTCTCAATAGGATGCTACGCTCATCGAGTTTATATGTATGAAATAAACGTTATGTGCAGTACATACCGGTCAATATACATACATGTATACGTACATACATACATACATACATTCATACATACACATTCATACATACATACATACATACATACATATATACACACATACGTGCAATAAATACCATTATTTATGTATGCGCTCTTTGTATGTTTGTGCATTCGATGAATTTTATGTATTTGTTAAAAACAACTTTTGTATCAAAAGAACGTATTTTTTGTTTGGTATGTTGTGATAAAATACAGTCTATTTATTGTATTTTTTTAATAATTATTAATAATTTAATTATTTATTTGTATTCATGTATATTTATTTATTACGACACTTACCTACACATCTAAATGATATTTTTTACGTAATTTTTTAATTTAAATATACAAAACGTCACAGTCTACAACTCACACAAACACATTCCAACACGCAGGCCTATACAAACATACACACACATACAGACATAAACCTACATAAATATATACAAACAAACTCACGACCAAACTCTAAAGTGATTTCATATTTTTCATAAACATTTTTTTTCCAGAGTTAATCAAATAAAAACTGAAAAAACGAAATTTTTTTTCGCCATAGATTCTGTCTATTTATTCTCAAATATTACATTCCATGGTATGAGGATATGAAAAAAATGAATCATTCTATGTGAATCTGTCGGTTCTTTGCTAGTAAAAAATGTATATTATTTAGGATATCGCAGTACTAATTTAGTATTTATACCATGATAATTCCATTAGTAATAGAATGTAATTAGTAATAAATAAATAAATAAATACATTAACAAACAAAAAAACAATCCAAACGTATAAGCAAACAAATAAATGAATAAAATATAAGAAATTATTTTTTCCGGCAAGAAGATACAGCATCACATAAAATCGCGATGCAAGGTATTCAAAGTATTTCTTCAAAAAAAAATTTGTCTGTGTGTGTGGTTGTGTGTGCGCGTGTGTGTGTGTGCGTGCGTGACTGGCGCGTGTGTGTAGTTGATTAAGTGTTAATGAAAGACCAGCTGTGCGTGTGCTTAAATGTGCAAATTTATATGTGTGTGTGTGGGTAAGGTGTGTATGTTTGTGTGTATGTTTGTGTGTGTATGTTTGTGTGTGTGTGTATGTTTGTGTGTGTATGTGTCTGTGTGTGTGTGTTTGTGTGTGTGTTTGTTTGTACGTGCTTTTATTTCTCCTCTTCCACATCATCTTCACAACTGTTATTTGCGCGCCACTGAATGTTGAAATACTTCCATGTCATATCCACAATAGCAATCGAACCCAATTATATATATATATATATATATATATATATATATATATATATATGTGCGTGTGTGTGTGTGCGTGTGTGTGTGTATGTGTGTGTGTGTGTGTTTGCATGTGTGAACCTGGGAAATTTGCTTAAATATGCTTCTGTGTGCTTGTTCTTGATAGAAGGTTGCATATTGTTTATATTTATTTTCCTAGGATGATATAGCAGTATTAAATAGCGCATTCTTACGATTTTGTAGCATATTTATCTACTCTCTCAAAACAAACACATTTTTTCTGTTTTTTTTTAATGATTTATAAAATTTTTTTTAACAGGAAAATATTAAATATCTAAAAAAACTTATAATATTAATAATAAAATATAATATAATTTATTATGCCTCTACGTGAAACGTTTCTCATATCATCTGGGAATATCACGTGGGTGTGTATGGGGGAATGTGCCATATGTTTTTTGATGTGTGATGTGTATTACTTTAATTTCGAGAGAGAAAGAGAGAGAAAGAGAGAGAGAGAGAGAGAGAGTAAGAGTTAAAGAAAGAGAAAAAAAAGAAAAAATTGAAAAGGAATAAAAATAAAAAAGGAAAATTTTTTAAATATATCGTAAATAATAATGAATAAATTAAACGTTGAAACTCACCAGGTATTTGTAGAAACCGATTTCTTCAAAGAAGTGATTTTTGATGTTATCTGATGCTTAGGCCAAGAGAGAGTTGAAATGTTTTTGGTTGATGAGTTGATGTTCATAGAATCGATATTGATGCTGTTATAGTTATTAATGTTATTAATTCTGTGAGCGCTATGGTTGTTGATGTGATCGATATATTTTTAAACATTTCTATTGATGTTTTGGCATGTTGATGTCATCATGGTGATTGGTGTTACTGATGTTGCTTATATCTGTTGAAGGCCATGCCGACTTAATGTTTTTTCATGGCTGTTTGAGTTATGGGAGTTTAAAAAAAGGACTTCCAGATGATCTCAATTGATTTACGCAACGATATGTTTGTATCTTATGTTGTTTTAATTAAAGCCAGATTAATTTTCTGCTTTAATATTATCATCACCATCATCATTGTAGCCATCTTCACCATCATCATCATCATTATTTGCATTATCTACTGCCGTCATCGTCATCATCGTCCTCATCATCATCATCATCATCATCATCATCATCATCATCATCCTCATAGAAAATCCTAACTTTCAATATCATCCCGTCATCATCATCGCCATTTTTGTAATCGGTGCCAGCATCTCCATCATCATCACAATCATCATCATAATCATCATCATCACAATCATCATCATCCTCATTTTGACTTTCGTTGCTGTTTTTTTGGTTTTTCAAGGTCATTCTCTTGACTCATCATCATCATCACCAAACAGCTGCCGACAGAGCAACCATTAATAATTTTTTTTCATGCACGTACGATCATCATCATCATCATCATCGTCGTCGTCGTCATCATCACCGCCATCATCATCATTATCATCATCAACGTCATCATCATCATCATCAGTACTGGCTCCTCACTGTCGGACTTGATGATGATGATGAGTTTGAGTTTGACGATGACGACAGATCGGAGAAAGCTGAACTCGCATGATCGCCATTCACTCTATACTTGCTGCTAGTTCGCTCATCGAATAAATTCAGATCTGAAGTTGCTGTCGTTGCTACTACAACTGCTGTTGCCACAGCTGCTGATGTTGTTGATGTTGCTGCTACTGCTGCTGAAAGGTTTCGAGAATGTACTGTCGTTTCGGTCAGAACTTTAATAAAGTTCGTTGGATTGTTTAGCTGTGGTGAGTTGTTTGAGTGTGGTAGGTTGTTGCTGTTGATGTAGTTGTTGTCGGTGTTGGTGTTGTTGGTGTTGTAATTGTTGTTTATGTTGTTGTGTAAGTGATCTGGGTCGTGATTTGCACATGAATATGAGTGCTTTCTGCTGTTGTTACTGATACTGCTCGCATTGTTACTTAGATGATTGTGTTGTTGTTGTTGTTGGTGGTGTTGTTGTTGTTGTTTAAGTTGAAGATGCTGTTGATGTAATTGATGCGGCGGACAGTTTGCGTTGATTGATGTATTAAAATTTGCTGACGTCATTTCCGCGTGAAGAAGATGTGGGCTTGTGCTGCTGTCGGGACGATGTGGAAGATTTTTGAAGGGTGTCATTCTTGTTGTTTGACGCTCTCCGTTGCAAGGATATATGATATTGACGGTGTTGTTGTTGCTGTCGTTGTTGTTGTTGTGGTTATGTACGTTGTTGTTGTTGTTGTTGCTGCTGTTGTGATTATGTATGTTGTTGTTGTTATTTATGTTGTTGTTGTTGTTGGTGTTGTTTTCGCTGTTGCTGTTGTTGACGATGTGAAAATTTTTACAATAGTCTAAGCCTTTATTGTCCGCACTGCAATTAATACTGTTGTTGTTTGTGTTGTTGTTATAACCATTTTTTCTGTTGCCGTTTGGCGTTATTTTGTTGTTGTTTATGTTTTGTGTGTCAAAGCCAGAAAAACTTTTTTGCTTGTTGATGGGTGGGATAGAGTTTAAGTTGTTGTTGTTAATGTCAGTGATGCTATTGAAGTTGTTGTTGTTGTTGTTGCTGTTATTGAAGTTGTTGTTGTTGTTAGTTGAGTTGTAAAAATGTGTGCTGTTGACGTTGTTTTGCGAGTAAATGTTGTAACTAAGAATATCGCTCAGTTGATTAGTCATGTAATTTCTCACGTTGTTGTTGTTGTTGTTGATGTTGTTGATGATGATGTCATCATCATCGTTTTCGTTAATACTGCCGTGATTGGCAACAAATTTGTTGTTGCTGCTAATGTTGTTGTTGCTGCTAATGTTGTTGTTGTTGATGATGTCATTGTAGATGTTGCTGTTGTTGTTGTTGTTGTTGCTGCTGCTGTTGTTGTTGTTAAGTCTCGCAAACAGTTGCAATAAATCAAAACCATCATCATTCCTGTGGTAAATATTCTCGCATACGTTGAAGTTTTGAAAGCTACCGTTCAAAAAATCGTTGTAATTGTTGTTGTTGTTGTTGCTGAAATTGTTGTTGATGTTACTGTTGTTGGTAATGTTATTGAACGTGAGTTCGTTTTGAGCGACGAGCGAATTTAAAAAATCTCTATTCAGCAAGTCTTTCTCAATGAAGTTCTCTATTTGCGGATCATAAAATTTTTCATTGGCGCGATTACTATTTGAATTGTTGTTAATGTTATTGTTGTTGATGCTGCTGTTGCTGCTGCTACTGTTGCTGCCATTAACGCAGCTATAACTGCTGGCAATGACATTGTTACCGATATCTACGTTATAACCGATGTTCTCATCGTTGTACGCATTCATCTTTAAAAACCCTGATATACCGAAGTTCGATATTTTTAAATCTTCGATCCTGCTTTTCAGGACATCTCTATTTGGTCCGTATATCGTTAGGAAGTCTTGGACGGCATCGTCGGTATCGGTTTTGCCGGTCGGTTGAGTCCAGGAGAGAGGCGAAACAACTCGAGATGGTAGGCTGCTGCTGAATGGCTTCTGACATGCTAACGAGTTGAACATGCGTATGAATGAGCTTGGGTCTAACATGTTGGTGTTGCTGTTGTTAGTGTTAGTTCTGTTTAATAAGTTAGCTGACGATAAGACGCTGTTGATGCTGTTGTTGAAATTGATGTTGTTGCTACCGTTATTAATGTTAGGCGCTGTTGTTATTCGTTGTACAATTATTGCTGCTGTTTATGAGGTTGTCGTTGTTGTTGCTGTTGTTGTTCAATGGGAGTCCGTTGACATTCTGCTGGTTGGAGTTGAAAGTTGCTGCGTGCGAATTTGAAAACTGAAGTTGAGCGCTCAAAATGGCGGCTAATTCAGCGCAGGTTGGCCAGAGGAAGGGATGATTCGATTGATGTTGTGGGTTCGTCAGCTCCGCCAGTCCCGTCCTCAGAGCTATGTAGCCTTCTATCTCCACTTTGGCTCTCTCAACGTTTTCAGGTGTGCCGGTGATCTCAAATATCGGCTCCTTATCTCGACTCGGAGTAACAATGTACGTCTGGGAGTCCAGTTGTATCCGTTTTATGGTGGCCCCCTTCGGTCCGACTAACAGCCCCACTACTCTATACGGAACTCTGACTTTGACGGTCACGTGATTAGCTGACCCCGACGGGTCATCGTTGAGCATTTCCGGTCTAATTTTATTGAGGGCAACAACGTTGTCGAAGTGTTCGGCCACGGAGAGAATTTCCATCTTGGCGGCCATGACGTCATCGGGCCTGCCGGTCACCACGAAGATGGGGTCCTCGCCACGAACTGGCGTCTTTATGTACGTGTTCGTTTTTGCTCTCAGGGCTTTTATCTTGGAACCTGGGTGTCGGTGTGTTGTAGACGTGTGTGTGTGTGTGTGTGTGTGGGGTGGGTGTGTGTGTGGATGTGTGTGTTTGGAACGTGAGTGGGTGTGGATGTGTGTGTGTGTGCGCGCTCGTGTTTATAATTGTCTGTGCGTGTGTAAAGTGTTTCTAATGAAAGTTTTGTGAAATAATTGTTTATAGTTAATATGTATTATTAATATAAAATTTTATTTGATAAGCGAGTAGAGAAGCAGAGATCACCATAGAAATGAATCTCATAATATTCCAGGAGAACATGATTGAAAAAATTGTCACCAACTCATTCTGCTTCTACACTTCGTTTTGATCCTGAAACTCTACTAAATTTTTTTGCAAAAATTATTTTACAAGTACACAGACAAAAAACACAAAAGAAGAAAACACAAACAGGCAAAAACATACACACTCATATTTACACGCGCTAATACATACATGCACACACGAACAAACATACACACATACATTCATATAACTGTATATATATATATAAATAAGTGTGGGTATATATATATATGTATTGTATATACAAACACACGCACGCACGCACATACATCGATACATAAATGGCAATTAATTTTATTGGATGTACCAAACGATAAGACAAATGAAGGGCGATTCGAAAGATGAACAATTTTGCGCGCTTGCTTCGTGCGTCTTAATCTTTCTTTGTATGTTTGCCGTTTCGTTTCGTTTCAATTGTATGTTTGGATGCATGTGTGTGTGTCTTTGTAACTGAAAGTTTGCATGTGTGTTTTTATGTTTGTGTTGTTTGTTTGCATTTTGAAAATTAATACGATTCTCGATGCTTCAAACAACTTTTTACTACTTGTGTGTCAATTTTTTAATTATCCTTTTTTCTATCTTTCTAAATTTAATTTTTAATCATTATTTCTATTACATTTTTTTAGGTTTTATTTTATCAAATATCAAACACATTTTTTTAGTGTTCGCGCTTTATTTCAATTTAGTTGTTTACCTCTAAAGAAACATCCTTTTTTACACCTTCTTTTGTTGTTTGTGTCTGCCTTTGTGCCTGTCTGTCTGCTTCCCTGTCTGTCTTTTTGACTGTTCGTCTGTCTGTAGTATAGATCAGTATACGCGTCTGATTCGTTTTCTCTCTTTTTCTCTCTCTCACTTTCTCTCTCTCTTTCTCACTCTTTCTCTATCTCTAACTTATTGCTCTTAACTAACTCCCACCATATTATCGTTAATATTTTTGTGTTATTTTGTTTTTCGTGTTTTGTTTTTGTCAATTTCATGCTAATTCCATCTTCTCGTTATAAACCAATTTACATTCGTTTCGTCTCGTTTCTCTGTTTTATTTTATTTCTCAAGTAATTTTCCTTCTCCTACAAGTTTCAAGTTTTTATTTTATTTTTTTTTTGTTTTAGTGTTACAGGTGTACGTGCGTGTTTGTGTGTATGTGTGTGCGTGTCCGTGTATGTATGTATAAATGTAATAAAAATGTTATTTATAATGACAAATATGAAAAATTATTAATAATGCTTTCAAAATTTTAATCATACTGACACTCCAATTACATTTTATTTTTATTCTTATTTCATTCTCGTCGCTTAAAAAAATTTCTGTTTAATATGAGAAACTTTTTCGCTTCTTCATTTGCATTCCATTTTGTTGAACTGGATCTTTTTCCGGCATATTTTAAGCGCTATTTCATATAAGCATTCTTTTTTCTCTTTTTCTCTCTCTGTCTCTCTCTCTTTCTCTCTCTCTCTCTCTTTATCTTTCTTTCTTTTTTTTATTTTTCATTTACTTGATCTCCCATTTGTTATATTAATTCAACTTTTTAGGGTTTCATTTTAATTACTCATCAGTCATTCTATCATTGCATCATAAGCATTCTTCTCTCTACGTCTCTTTTTACTTCCACTCAATCTCTATTGCTACATTCATTCAATTATTCACCTATCCATTTTTTGATTAATCCATCTATCTTCATACCTGCTATCATACGTTATCTATCATGATATAACTGCGCGCGTGTATATCATGATATAACTGCGCGTGTGTATAGTTTAATTCCCGGGCCGCAATCTGCCTCAAACGTTAAACAATTTTTCCTTTCTATTTGAAAATTTACGTTTTGTTGTTTCATTTATTTTTTATTTTTTCTCTCATTTCCTCATTCTTTCTCTTCCCCTCTCTCTCTCTCTCTCTCTTTCTCTCTCTCTTCCTTTATTTCCCTTTTTTCCTCTTTTCATCTTCATATCTTTATATATCTTCATCTATCTATATATGCATCTTCTTCACTATTCACTCTCACTGTTTTTTCTCTCTCTCTTTCTTTCTTTCACTCTGTGTGCCTCTTTTTTTCTCTGTGTGCCTCTTTTTCTCTCTGTGTGCCTTTCTCTCTCTCTCTCTCTCTCTCTTTCTCTCTCTCTCTCTCTCTTTCTCTCTCTCTCTTTCTTTCTCTCTGTGTGCCTCTTTTTTTCTTTCTGTGCCTCTCTTTCTTTTTCTCTCTCTTTCTCTTTTTCTCTCTTTTTTTCTCTTTCTCTCTACATCATAATTTCTAAATCTATTTTATTCTTCCCTATGCAAACTGCACAACAACAAATTTTTCCGATTACTTTTAGTAGTGATAGTATTAATAATAATAATAATAATAATAATAATAATAATAATAATAATAATAATATTAGTAACAGTAAAAGTGTAAGAGACACAGTAATAGTGGTAGTAGTGGTATTGGTAGTAGTAGTAGTGGTGGTGGTAATAGCTGCAGTAGTAGTTGTAGTAGCGTCAGGAGCAGTCTTAGTATTGTTCTTCCGGGATGTTGCTGCTTATCTGTATGCGATTAAGAGATGCATGAATGTGTGCGTGGTTGTCTGTGTATGTATGTGTCTGTGTATGTTTGCGTACGTTTGTATATTTTTGAGTATGTTTCTGTATGTTTGTGTGTATAAGTGTGTATGTTTTCATCTCCATGTGTTTCGGAATGTTTGTATCTTTGTGTTTAAGTTTGTGTATATCAACATGTTTGTATCTTTTTGTTTATGTTTGTGTTGATCTGTATCTCTATGTCTGTATCTGTTTGTATATGTATGTGTATGTTTGTGTATGTCAGTATGTTTGTATCTTTTTGTATATGTTTGTGTATATCAGTACGTTTGTATCTTTTTGTATTTTTTTGTATCTTTATATATCTTGAATGCTTTTTTCTTGCATGTGTAGGTAGATGTTATTGATGAACTGATGGGCAAAATGATATTGTATGTATGATTATTTTTGTAAGTGGAATGAATGAATGAATGAGTGAAAGAATGAAAGAATAAAAAAATAAACGAATGAACGAACAAACAAACGAGTGAATTAATGAAAAAATAAGACAATAAATGAATGAATTAATGAATGTAAGTACTAACCAACGAACGATTAACTAAATGAAATATAGAATGAATGAATGAAGGAATGAAAAAAATAGATAAGTGAATGAATGAGAAAATGAATGTATAAGTGAATGAAAGAGTGAATAAATGAATGAATAAAAAATGGATGGACTGATAGATTGATACATACAAACAAACATGTTTCTATGGAAGAGATGCAGTAGATGGAATTATGCATGATTGCCTGCTTAATCTCACGCACGTTTGCATGTAATATAAATCTATATAATATATATTTATATGTGTGTGTGGTGTGTGTGTGTGTGCGTGTGTGTGCGTGTGTTTGTGTGTGTGTGTTTTCTTGTTATTGTGCTCTTTTGGACTTCAAGTATAAAAAGTGATATGATCCAATTTATTGCATATGCATGAATTTGCGTATGACGGCCTTTGTGATGTGTGTGTATGTGTGTGTGTGTGATTGTGTGTGTGATTGTGTGTGTGTGTGTGTGTGTGTGTGTGTGCATGTGTCGGTGGGTGTAAACGTAGAAGCATTAAAACATTGTTTACATTTAAACATTGTCTACAGTCTATTCCATAGGCATTCGAAGATGTTTGTTTATGTGTACGTGAGTTTCATGTTGGGCCTATATGTTTATGTTTTGCTGAGTTGTTTTTTGTTTGTTTGTCTGTTTGTTTACATATTTGGTTGCATATTTGCCTACATTTTT